GACCCGGGCACCACCCCAGCCGCAGCAGGAGGGTGGCCTCTACCACACCCGTGTCCTGATCCCCGGAGCCTGTGAACAGGTCAGTCACCTGCAAGGCCCAGGAGCTTTACGCACAGGGTTAGGGAAGACACAAGCCTGGGGGACCCCGGTGACCCCATCCTGGTCATGAGGGTCTTTACAAGAGGGAGGAGGGGGGTCAGATCCGCGAAGATGCGACAGCAGAGGCAGAGGAGCAGGCCGGGCGGCCGGGTGTTCACTGGAGCCTCCACGGCAGCTGGCGAGGCTGACACTGTGACTTTGGCCTCGTGAGTCCAGAACTACAGGACTTGAGCTGTTGGAAGCACGGAGTTTGTGACGAGTTGCAGCAGGTGCTGACCCGACCCCCACGCCTGCCCAGCCCGGGGCCCCCGGCCTGGCGGGTCCTCACCCTGGGGGACCTGGCACATGCCACTGAGCCTTTCTGTCCCTCGGATGCCCTGCTCAGAACAGATAACTGAGGGTCACCTGGGGCCAGGTGAGCTGATGGTCCCCGTGGGGACCTGCATGCCACAGCCAGTGCCTGCCGGACCCTCGTAAGCAAACGGCCAAAGCCCCCGCCCTGGAGAGACCCACGGGAAGACACACTCTGGGCGCGGGACCCCTCGGCCAAAGGGCACAGCTCGGGAGGTGGGGCTGGCTCCATTGCCCCGCCACGCCCAGGAGGCACTGCCAGGCCCTGCGTGGCTCTGCACTGTCATCCCCACAGCAGCTGGCCCGGGGGGCAGGACGCAGGTGAGGGGCAGGAGGGCGGCGTGGGGAAGCAGGGAGCCCTGAGGGCCGGGGGTGCTTCAGGGAGGGGCCGCAGGGCGCTAACTCGGAAGGCAGCTGGCCCGGGGGGCAAGTACGAGTGCCCCCAAGCCCACCAGAGGGGGGTGACCCCAGGACACAAGGGGCCCAGGAAGCGGGCTCTGGGAGCCTCACTTCAGAGACAAAGCAGAGGTTCCGAGAGGACCCCAGTCGGGCACAGAGGAGCCTGGTCCAGAGTGTGCTCACTGCAGACAGAGGGCGCAGAAGGAGCGAGGCTGAGCCAGGGACACAGGTGCCCGAGCCCCCCGCGTGCTTCCCAGGGGCCAGATGCTCACAGCTGCGCCTGGGACCCTCGTCTCCACCCCTGACCGCAGGCACCCTGTGACCCCCGCTTAGCAGAGAGGAGGTGAAGCCTGGAGGGGGCCAGCCGGCTGTTCACGTGCTGGTGCCCACAGAGGGCCCCTGCCCCTCCTGGCTGGCCCGGTGCGGCAGGTGCGTCCTCACAGGACCTACAGACAGGCCAGACAGACAGCCCTCACGTGAGGGAGCGCGAGGCCGTGGGTGGCGTGCGGGGCGCTAGCCAACCAGCCACCTGGCTGGGCCACTCGGCAGCCAGTCCGGGCCCAGGAGGCTGCCTAGTGAGCCCCAGACAATTTTTCACCCCATACTTTTCCAATAAAAAAGCAGTTAGACACCAAGCGCAGCCTTGTGGAGGGGCCACCTGGCAGCTCAGGCTCCTTCCCCTCCAGCCGCCAGAGCCCGGGGAAGGGCCGGGGTGGCGCCCCTGCAGAGCTAGGTGTGGGGGGCTCAGGGGCAGAGCCTGGTCGTCAGGAGGGGCGGGCAGTCACCGCAGCGGGAGGCCACAGAGAGGTCTTCCTGCAGGGGTGCTTTGGCGCTGCATCCCTTGGCAGACAGAGGCTTTGCTGGTCTCTGTGTGTCCATGCCTTGGACATGGAACATTCCAGTGTGTCTGCACCTAGAGCCAGGGGGCAGAGAGCCCCAGGCTAGGGGGTGAAGGGGGGATGGGCTTGCAGGAGCGCAGGGGGCCAGTGAGGGGCGGCAGGCCGACAGAAGACACCGGGGCATCTGACCTCAGACCCCGGCAGGTCCAGGAGGCGCAAACGGGCTGGAGTAAGGGGGTGTCCTTGCCGGGAGGGAAGGGAGGGGTCTGCGCCACAGTGTCCCTCTGCAGCTTGGAGGGACAGGGGCCTCTTGGGACAGTGGTTCCCCCTGAATTTCCCCCTATGACTTACACAGCACGGCCCCTCTGAACTCACGCTCTCTCCCTCCCTCTCCGCCCCCCCCACCCCGGCTCCAGCCCCACCGGACATTCTGCACCAACATTCCCCACCCCCGCCTCACCATGCGGGGGGCGATCAGTGCTGTGAGGAGGTGAGATGCGGAAGACACGGCCACCGCTGCTGTCACGGGCAAGGGGTCGCTGTGAGGGGAAAAGCCGTGCGCGGAGGCCGGCCAGGCAGGCAGACAGCAGGTTGCTGAGCGTGGGCGGTCCATGCCAGCCGGAGGGGCCCACACCTGCCCGAGGGGCCACGCCTGCCTGAGGGGCCCACGCCAGCCAGAGGGCCCGGGCCTGTGCTTTCAGATGAGACAGTCCCCCATCAAGCCACCGTTAATTCCCACTTCCGATACGGCAGCTAACCACAGCCCCTCATGACATGGGCCGTGTGGTCGCGCTGGCAGCTGCGGTCTGAGCGCCAGGACGGGGGCTGGGAGGGGCGGTGTGGGCGGTGGGAAGGCAGATTCGGGAGCAGGTGACCAAAGGGCCCGTGCTCTGGCCAGATGTGAGGCAGTGAGGGCAGGGGGAGGTGGGGCTGGCTGGCCGCAGGGTCTGAACCTCTTGCAGACACAGTGGCCCAGCCGGTGCTGACCAGGCACGGCCACCACAGGGGCAGAAACGCGGAGATGCATCCGTGGTGGACGGCGAACCACCCTCGGGAAGCCCTCGGCCCAGCGGCCTCTCTGGGAAGCGATCCCACGGCGCAGGGCCCCGTCCGAGCCCTTGCCGCCCAGCCCCTGCGGACCCCGGCTCAGTGGCATGCGGTCTCAGCCCGGGCTCTGGCCTCCCTCCCAAGCTGTGCAGGGACACAGCCTAGTGTCACAGAAGACCCAGCCACTCGTGCGAGTGGCGGACCTGGGTGACCAGGGAGGAGACCTGTGCCCCTTCCCTGGCTCTCCAGCCAAAGGGCTTCTGAAGCGCAGTCCAGCTGTGTCCCCCTTCAAGGGAACCGTCCGCCCACAAACCGTAGACGGTGGCTCGCTCACTCTGCGTTCACCGAGTCAGTCTGCTGTGGCCCAAGACAGGTGTCTCCGGGACCCTGACACGGGTGGGACACTGGAGACGACGGGTGGCGTGGCCTCCCACTTGCCCTGCGATGGAGCCAGAGGCTGTCACACGCTGGGGGGGGACGTGCCGTCACATCACCCCTGCAGGCCGCGGCCATGGCTGGGGCCCAGCACACGGCTGTGGGGGAGGCTGGGCCTGCCCGTGGCCACCATCCCCCTTCCTTCCCAGGACCCGCAGCTACGAGCCCCAGTCACAGCCCAAAGGGGGTCTGGGCCAAGTGACCACAGCTCGCACGGCAGAGACATCGGCCCCAACACAGACCCCTGCCCGTACCTCTGGGCGGGGGGCTCCGGAGCCCAGACTGGCCCTCCCGACACCGTCTGGGGCAGCGGCTCACGGGTTCCAGACCCTGCCCTGCCCCTGTCCGGAGGGTGCTCCTCCGCCCACACTGTCCCGCCCGCGCCCGCTCCCCCCGCCCTCAGCCGGGACTGGCCTGTAGCCTCCCTGCTGGATGGGAGTGCGGGGGAGGGCAAAGCTCCAGCCTCCCTCTAGCCCTCGGTCGTGGCCTGCTGCCCCTCCAGGGTGTCCACGGCCACGTCAGCAGTGACCTCTCGTTCCTGGGGTGCAGTCAGAGCTGTGCCCCTGGTCTCCGCTGCCCAGAGTCCCCACTCTCGTAGCAGGGCTGGACTCACAAGTAGAGGGATAGGCAGGACTGGGCAGGATCAAGGGCCGAGCTGGGCTCTGGAGGCCCCAGTCAGCCCTCTGCTGCGGGGGGAGGGGGCAGCGGTTTTTGGCTGGGGGGAGGGGTACCAACCAGCAGCAGCAGCGGATGGCACGCCCTGGGGCTCGGCCCTCACCCGGCCACACCACTCCCCCCCGACCCCCACCATGGCGACCTCTGGCCCTTGCTGTCCCCCTCCCAGGCTCCAAGGCTGGTCACCTGGACCCCCAGGTGTCCCCTGCAGGCCAGTCCTGCCAGGCGGCTTTCCAGTCGTGGCCACACCTGCTCATGTATTTGTGTCCCGAGAGGGGACATCTGCCTGTCCACCCCGGGACAGGCCAGGACACAGCAGGTGAGGGGAGCCAAGGTCACACAGCACACAGACATCCCGTGGGACTTCACTCCGGTTCATAAAACTTGCCTCAGAGCCAGTGTTCAGGGGCCCCTTCGGCCCACCTCCCGAAAACCATGCTTGATCACACTGTCCCCGTGACCTAGATGTTCGTCCCCCGTACCCGCTCAGGACCTCCCAGCGTCTTGCCGGCCTCCGTGCCGTGTGCATGGCCATCACCTGCCACCTCATCACCAACTATGACTCTTTCCAGGAGGGCTGTTCACTTGTTCGGGAGGACTGTGCACCCAGCCCGCCTGGGGTCCAGGCGTGTGACCCTTACTCCCCCCCGTGCCTCAGTGTCCCAGGATAGCCATCAGGGGGGCTCAATCCCCACCGCCTCTCCCCGGGGCTTGGGGACAAGCCCACAGGGAGTGCGGGCGCCTGGGCCGGTGGGCATCTCCGCCCGCACAGAGCCCAGCTGCCGAGGTAAGAGCTCCCCGCAGAACACCCCAGGGCCGGTGGGTGCCCAGGACCAAGGGCCCCAAGGAGGCTGCGCCGTGGTTTTTCCAACTAAATACTCTAGCTGCACAAATCCCGAGTTAATGGGAATTTCATTGTTCCTGAAAGGAGGGTAATTATGAGGTGCGAGCGTGCCGCCGCTATTAGCGGAAGTCTCTATTTTCTGATGACGTTTACGGCCCCCAGCCTGGAAAGCTGTCCCCAGACCCGCTCTGCCCTCGCCACCCCCCATCCCAGGGAGCCCTGGCAGAGCCGGGGCCTGGACTTGTGGGGAGGCCCTTCGTCCCCTGCACCCCTGTGGATGGAGGTCTCAGGAGGAGGTGGGGGGGGCTTACCTTGTCGTCCCCTTCGCTCTCGCTGTCACACTGCAGGGAGAGAGAGAGGAGAGTCAGCGTCCCGCATCACCCCTACGCAGGGCGGCAGGGGCTTGCGGAGAGAGGGGGCCTCAGTGAAGGGCTCCGTGGGGCGGGCGAGGCAGACGCACCCACTACAGGGCAGAAACTGGGGCCCAGAGTGAGCCATGAAGCCACCTCCTCACCCCGGCAACACCCGGCACAGCTTCACCCCCATCCTGGGACAGAACCGCTCCCCTGCGACCCCCTCGGGCCTCCTCCCACAGGCTGGTTTCCAGGCAGGAAGAGCTTGTGCTCCTGGGCGGTGGGCACGGCCCACACCCCGCACACCTCACGAGGCCCACGGATGGGGGCGGTGGGGACGGGATCAAGGGCGCCTCTGGGCAAGGACACGGAGGCCCAGTCCCAGCAGCCCTGGCAGGGAGGGCGAGGGGCTGAGGGGGCCCGGGCCGCTGGGGCAGGCAAGGGGGGCAGGCTGTGGCCACAGCACCACCCGCCGCGGCCTGGGTATAAACCACTCGGCGTGTTAGCTTCGCTGGTTAAAGGCACGTTGGCAATCACGCAAACAAATCTTTGTTTTCCATTTTCAGTACGCAGAGCTTTAAAAAGAAAGACTGCTCTTCTAGAAACCACAGCAATTTCCCCCTAAAAGAACATAAAAAAAAAAATAATCCCTTCCCAGCAACTGCAATTAAGACGCGTCCTGTCAAATGAACGATCCTGTGGAAGATAAGTCCCCTGGGGCCACACAGGAGGGGCCCCGGTCGGCGGAGCACGTGCTCGCGTGGCGCCCTCTGCTTGGTCGGGCGGGAGGGGCCGGGGTGAGGACAGGGGCACGCTCCATGACAAAGTTGTGCAGACGTGCCCCGTGCTCCACCAGCCACTCGCTGCCGCGGAAAGTGACCCCGGGGGACGGGCACGTTGGGGGGGATCTTCTGAGGCTGAAGAGCTTCCCACCCCCCAGCCCCGTGGCCCCCCTTCAGGGCCCGGACAGAGACCCCTGGGGTGGTGGGCGGGTCCTTTCACGGGAGGGCCGCGTGGGCCCTCAGTGCGCTGGCTGCACGAGAGGCCAGGTCAGTCCCCTGTGGCTGGGTCTGGGGGCGGGGAGAGGGCAGAGTGGCTGAAACGCGGGAGGCGTATGGGAGGGGGAGGAAGCGCTGGAACATCCCAGAACACGGGAGGGTGTCATCGTTCCGTCCTAGTGGGCCGGGCTGAACTCCGCTGTGGGAGCCCTGGCCGGGAAAGGCAGAAGGCCAGGGTCTCCGTGCTGGCAGAGAAGGGGCGGGGGCCGGGGTCCTGGAAGGGGGCCGAACGCAGCTGGCACAGAGCAGCTGCAGCCGGGCCTCTTCCTGCTCCATTAGCGGCCCCGAGCCCTGGGCTGGAAACCGCGGTCCCACCAAGCTTCCAGGGGGGCTGGGCCTCGCGTTGGGGCACCCAGAGCCCCCAGGGCGGGCTGTCTCACACCTCTCCCTGAGGCGGCCGGTGTTGTGATGAGAGCCTAACGAGGGGTGAGGTGCGTTCCAGCCAGCACGGGCCCTCTCATTAACCAGACAGCACCCCTGTCAGCTAGCACAGGCCACGTCGTAAAAGAATTCGTGTTATTAGGGCCTACTGAATTAATGTTTAACTGCAATAGAGTCGGAACTGAATGAGGCAATTAATCAGGGCAAAGAGGGAAAAAGAGCCACATCTGTCTTGCAGGGGCTGCTCGAACACGGTGACCTTCACAGGGCTGGGCTGGGCGGCCCTGGTATGGGGGGGGGGTCCATGCAGGGTGTCCCCGGAACAGAGGACAGACTCCAGGCCCCAGGGGGACGTGCCGGCTGTGGCTGGGAGGCCACAACACAGAGCAGACATCCACTGGGGTGCCGTGCCGCCGCAGGCGCCTGCAGTCTCAGGGAAGTCCCTTGACCTCTCTGTGCCTCAGTCTGCACTTCTGTAAACACAGACAGCAGCCCACAAACAGGGCTGTTGTGCAGCTTCTGTGGGTGAATACGTGCAACGCGCTAGAACAGTGCTGGGCACGTACTCAGCAGGACACACAGCACGACAGTGTCCTTGTCACCATCACCACCACCGTCATCATCACTACCATCACCACCATTGTCATCATCATCACTATCACCTTCACTGTAGTCACCATCACCATTGTCACATCACCATCACCATTACATCACCATCACTGTCATCACCGTCATCACCGTCGTCATCACCACTGTCACATCACCATCACTGTCACCACCATCACCATTACATCAGTCACTATCGTCACCATCATCACGTCACCATCACCATTGTCACATCATCATCACCGTCACCACCATCACCATTACATCACCATCACCGTCATCATCACCGTCGTCACCATCACCATTGTCACATCATCATCGTCACCACCACCACCACCATCACCATCATCTGCCTCAGCCTCTTCCCTCGTATCACCTGAACAGCCCATGGAGGCATCTAGCCCCCCACAGGGTCTGGGCACAGATACCTGTCACCCGACAGTGCCCTGCTCCCTAGGAGCACCTGCTCAGGAGGTCTGGAGAACTCAGCCTCTATCACCAGGCCTTTCTTCCAGAAACCTGGGCAGCCATTTGCCGGGGGGGGGGGGGGCCTGCTTGTCACCCTCCAGAATTGGGAGACATGAATCAACACGGTCATTCAGCAGCAACAGAAATGTGCCTTTTTCTTCTCTCAGTGCGAACATAATTACTGCTTCACAGCGGAGCTCAGAGGAGAGCCGCCTGTCTTCCATTCCTCAAACAAAGGCATGAAAAATTCATGGGCAGGGAGACCGTGACGCGGAGCCCACAGCTCCCATCAGATGCTCCAGCACTGGGCCAGGCCCAGAGCGCCCACGGGCAGCGGGGGGGAGGGGAGAGAGGCGGGAGCGGGGCGGGTCCCTCCTGCTCACGTGGGGCCGCCTCGTGCCATGGGACAGAGGGGCCCAGAGGCCGGCCTGGGCCCTGCCCTGGATAAGGGCACGGAAAGCCATCTCCAGCTTCTCCCTCGGCTGCCTCGCTCTACCCTGTGCAGCAGGAGGGTCGCAGCGCGGTGCTCTGGACCTGGCGCACGGCCTGGGGCACTGCCCACAGAGGCCCGGTTTACAGAGCTGCCCGGGGGCAAAGGAGAACCTGACTTCTCACCAGCCTGAGACTCACTCCTGAAAGGCACTGTTGCCTGCAAAGGCCTGAGCAGCTGCAAACCAGAAAAATCGGCAGGGTCCATGATCTATGTGTGGGTGGAAGGCAATGGAACATTCTATGCAGCCAACTTGAGCGTGGAGGCAGAAAGTTCTGGCCGCTGGACAGTTCATGCTGACCCCACCTGGGCTGCACCCATGTGCCGTGAGGTGTATACGTGCACTTTCCGTGTGCCTCGGGGACACCAGGGGACTCCCGGGCGGTCCAGATCCTTGACGTGGCTCTTTTCTCTGGGCGTGTTCTCATGGCTCACGTTCCGACACGTGTCAAGGCGTGCTCTGAGGCCTGTCACACAAGCACCTGGGCATCCTGTCCAATGGGTGTCCCACCACACGGCACGTATGCACCCAGGTGACCTGACACAGGGCCACCTGTCTCATGCGTGTGGCCCATGCTGCCAGCACATCTGTGCTTTGGGCTCTCACCCTCCATGCCCCTCACGTCTCGTTCTGCCTGTTGGCGCTGCCTCGGAAGAGCCCGGGGGAGAGAATGGCTGCCCCTTCCACCTGCGTGGGCATCCGTCCTCCACGGAGGGCATGGGGTGCTCACTTCGATCCCATGGTGCACACGCCCCAGAAGCAGGTCAGCTGAGATGCCCACGCTGTGGGCGGGCTGTGCGGGGGCCGGGGCTGGGAGCAGCCTCACATCACTCACTGTCTGGAGCCAGGCTCAAAGGGCCATCCTCAGCCGTCTCGGGGCAGCCCCGCCATTTGAGTGAGCACCGCAGATGCGGGGCCGTGCCTCAGGACCCCATGGGCAGGTGCCAGGAGCAGGGAAGGGGCCGTGGTCTCACCTAGGGGGGCCACGGGACCGGCTGGGTGACCGTCGTAAGTACTGAACAGCACCACCTCCCAAAACCGCGCTGTGTCAGAGCTGTGTCAACCAGTACTCGCCATGGTATTAGCCCATTTAGCAGACAAGATAGTGGAGGCTCAGACGCTAAAGGGACTTGCTTGCAGCTGCGTGGCCCAGAGGCAGGAGCCAAGCACCAGGACCTAGGGTTCAGTTGTGGCGGCGGTGCCCCTGGGACGCCAGGGCAGCAGGACGGGGGGCGGGGTCCCTGCATCCCGGCAGCGGAGGCTGGGGCAGCTGTGGGGGTGAGGCTAATGGCATTTGCTCACCGGGGTCACTTCTGTACAACTCAGGCCCCACCGCAGACCCACCTGCGTACAAATGGGGAAACTGAGGCAGAGTAGTTGGGAGACCACCTAGGTGAGTGGGTGAGGGGGCTCTGGAAGCCGTGGTCTCCATCTGGCCCCTCTGGTCAGGACTCCACGCTAGGGACGCCCTCATGGCAGCTGGGACAGGGCTGGGTACCAGCCAGTATGGCCCTGCAAAGGGCTCGGGGCCACTCTGGCCCAGAAAATCACAGTGAGCTTGATTAATTATGCAGGAAAGCTGGATGGGACCCTGAAAATCCCATTCTTGTTTACTCAGCTAATTCACTTTTATGAGTATTTAGCCTTTAAAGAAAACAAAGCACTAATTACCCAATTAACAAGCAATTAAGTTACTGCAGCCTAATAGCTGAGTGCGGACGGCCTCCATGGGCTGATGGCGAGCGAGACCCACTTAGCCAAGACACAGGGCTGGGGCTGTGCAGGCGCATTTGGGAGGGGGGAGGAGGAGCCATGCTCCCTGGGCCGGTGGGGGGCGTCGAGGGTGGGGGGCTGCTTCCCCTCACCACTGGCCTGCTCAGCCCCATGGCCCCTCATGGCCGGGCGTGGTGGGAGCCCGGCCTGTTCCCGCCCGTGAGTCTGCATCTCGGGTGCAGTGGGGAGCTCGGGGCGGCCTCCCGTCTGG